GTGTTGTGGGTCTAGGAATGACCGGATGACCGGTAACCCTGGAGTCCATTACAACGCGCTGCTCGTTATGTGTCTTGAAGTATAGTTTGCTATCGAACGAGATAGAAGAAAGAGGTGTTTTCGGCCTTTTTTTTCCTTGATTTTTTCTCTTTTTTCTATGTTCAATGGGGGAAATTTTCATACTTTTAGGCATGTTGCAGTTTACTTAGGGATAGCTTGTATACTAGTGATATCCCAATTGCAATATTTAATGATAATCAACTGAATGATCATACGCATTAACATCAGAATATAATATGATATAACCCTAATACTTAATATAAATTCCCATATAAATGAAGTCATAAAAGAAATCTCTGCCCAAATTCCCGCGTGTTGACAATCCATGCGCTAAACTCAATTGGGCACCAGCCCACCTCCCCTAAATTTTTTTTTCTTCTCCCTCTCTTTTTTTCTTCCTCTCCTCCATCACTCTCTTTTTTTCTTCATCCTTTTTTTTCTTGTCAATATTGCTTTGTGATACCCCCTTTGAGTTGTTTGTCTGAGACAGACCGCTCAATCTTTGTTCGTGTGGCCTGAGTCTCTCAGAGACAGGGCAACTGAAACCCTCCCTTGAAAAAACGACCACTTTATCCTTTCCATCATGGATCAACAGCGATTCCTGCAGCAGTTGCAGATTATCCTGGACCGTGAGTTCGTCTTGCACCTTCCAAACCAATGCTCATCTTGCTGACCCATTCTTTTAGCCTCTCAGGGAAACCTTAAGGAGGCCACAGGAGTCTTGCAAAAGGAATTCTACAACAAGCCCGAATCCCTTGTCTTCCTTATCCAAATCTGCACTAGCCATGATGACCAAAATCTGCGCCAGCTCTCTTCTGTGGAGTCTCGTTCGCTTGTTTCCAAGCACTGGTTGAAGGTTCCCGCCGGCCAGAAGCCCCAGATCCGCGAGCAGCTGCTCCGCTCCACCATGGGCGAGAGTTCATCTCTCGTTCAGCACTCCATCGCTCAGATCATCTCTGCTATTGCAAAGATCGATTTGAACGACGGCGAGTGGGCTGATCTACCCAACTTGCTGCTGCAGGCTGGTAACAATGGAAACGCCGCTGAGCGTGCTGTGGCCATCTACATTCTCTTCACCATCTTGGACACTCTCGGTGAAGGCTTTGAGGAGAAGTTCCAGGACCTCTTCAATCTCTTCAACAAGACTATCCGGGATCCCGAGAGTGCTGAAGTTCGCATCAACACCCTCATGTCCCTGAGCAAGCTTGCTATGCACCTCGATTCGGAGGAGGATGAAGCTCCTGTCAAGGCCTTCCAGGAGCTGGTCCCTGCCATGGTCGCCATCCTCAAGGATTCTATTGAGAAGCAAGAGGAGGACCACATCATGCAGTCTTTCGAAGTCTTCCAGACTCTGCTTGGTTGTGACCCTGCTTTGCTGACCGTCCACCTCAAGGACCTGGTCATCTTGATGAACCAGATCGCTGCCAACACCGAGGTTGATGAGGATGTCCGCACCCAGGCCATTAGCTTCCTGATGCAGACCATCCAGTACCGCAAGCTCAAGGTTCAGGGTATGCGCATTGGCGAAGAGCTCACCCGCACTGCTCTCCAAATTGTGACTGAGTTGGGCGATGCCGCTCCTGGTGATGATGATATCACTCCTGCTCGTTCCGCTCTCGGCCTCTTGGACATGCTCTCCCAGAGCTTGCCTCCCAGCCAGGTCGTTGTCCCCTTGCTCAACGCACTGGGACAGTACTTCAACAATGCCGACCCTGACTACCGTCGCGCTGGTATCATGGCCCTTGGCATGTGCGTTGAGGGTGCTCCCGACTTCATCAGCACCCAGATGAAAGAGATCTTCCCTATGGTCCTCCAGCTCCTGGCTGATCAGGACCCCAAGGTGCGCCAGGCTTCGTTGCACACTGTCGCCCGTCTCGCCGAGGACCTCGTTGAGGACCTGAGTTCCGAGCACGCGCGCCTCATGCCCTTGCTCTTCCAGAACCTGGCCAGCGCCATGCAAGAGTACAAGGGCGAGGAGGAAGGCCCTACCCTTGATATCATCAAGGCTGGCATTAGTGCCATTGATGCTGTCGTTGATGGTCTTGATGAGACTGCTGTTTCTCCTTACCAGGCTGAGCTTGTTCCCATTCTGCACAACCTCTTCAAGCATCCCGACTTCAAGATCAAGGCCCTTGCTGCCGGTGCTCTCGGATCCCTCGCCTCCTCTGCCGGAGACTCCTTCCTCTCGTTCTTCGATGAGTCGATGCACCTCCTTCAAGAGTTCGCTACTGTTAAGGACAGCGAGGATGAGCTTGACCTCCGTGCCAGTGTCACCGACTCTATGGGTGAGATGGCCGCCGCTGCTGGTCCCGAGCGTTACCAGCCGTATGTCGAGCCTCTCATGCGCGCCACCGAGGAAGCTTTGCACCTCGGTCACTCCCGTCTCAAGGAGAGCACTTATATCTTCTGGGGCGCCATGGCCAAGGTCTACGGCGAGCACTTCGCTCCCTTCCTTGACGGTGTTGTGAAGGGTCTGTACGATTGCATCGAGCAGGACGAGAGCGATCTTGATGTTGACCTCGGCAGTGCTGCCAAGGACCTTGTTGGCCAGGAGGTTACCTTCAACGGCCGCAAGGTCAAGGTCGCAAGTGCCGAAGACGACGACGAGGATGGTGATATCGAGGATGTCGATCTCGAAGATGAGGATGATTGGGATGACATCACTGCCACCACCCCTCTTTCGCTCGAGAAGGAGATTGCTGTTGAGGTTATCGGTGATCTCGTCACCCACACCCGCAGCGCCTTCCTTCCTTACTTTGAGAAGACCATCGAGCATGTGATGCCCTTGTGTGAGCACCCTTACGAGGGTGTTCGCAAGAGCACCATCAGCACTCTCCACCGCTCATACGCTATGCTCTTTGCTATCGCTGAGGAGAACGGCCAGATGCCCAAGTGGCAGCCCGGTCTTCCCTTGCAGGTTCAGCCTGCCAAGGAGGTTCAGAAGTTCGGTGAGATCCTGATGACTGCTACTGTCAAGATGTGGACCGAAGAAGATGACCGGTATGTTTCAACCATCTTTTCTCTCTTTTCTTCCCTTACCCAAACCATTTCTATGATGATGTTTTTCCGCTTAACCCAGCTCACTTTGATGCACCAAAGGCGCACTTGATGTAAACGGCGAAGTCTACACTCTGAGATCTACTTCCACCATTGCCTCATTATCTATCAACTGTCAATTCAATGACTTGATTGCTGACCGATATTTAATAGTTCTACTGTCGCCGATATCAACCGCAACATGGCTGAGAACCTCCGCTTCTGTGGTCCTGCCCTCATTGCCAATGAGACCATGCTTCACAACGTGATCCAAATGATCACCGATATCATCACCAAGCAGCACATTTGCCAGGTCGAGTTCGGTCCTGAAGAGGAGACTCTCGAGGCTGGTGAGGAATCTTCCGAGTTCGACTGGATTGTTGTCGACACCGCCCTGGACGTTGTCTCTGGCATGGCCGCCGCTATGGGTCAGAGCTTCGCTGAGCTCTGGAAGGTCTTCGAGAAGACCATTCTCCGTTACGCTGGTAGCACTGAGTCTCTTGAGCGTGCCACTGCTGTTGGTGTCCTCGCTGAGTGCATCAACGGCATGGGTGCCGCCGTGACCCCCTTCACCCCTGTCTTTATGAAGCTGCTCCTTCACCGCCTCGCCGATGAGGACTCTCAGACCAAGTCCAACGCTGCCTACGCCGTTGGCCGCTTGATTCAGCACTCTAACGCTGAAGCTGAGATTATCAAGGAGATCCCCACCATCCTTGCCCGTCTTGAGGCTTGCCTTCAGATGAACGTCTCGCGTCTCCAGGATAATGCTACCGGCTGTGTCAGCCGCATGATCTTGCGTTACCGCGACAGTGTCCCCACCAAGGACGTGCTTCCTGCCCTCGTCAACATTCTTCCCCTGAAGAACGACTTCGAGGAGAACGAGCCTCTCTACCGCATGATCTGCCAGATGTACAAGTGGGAGGATGTCACCATCCGCGAACTCACCCCCAGCCTCCTTCCCGTCTTCCAGTCGGTTCTCACCGGCGATGAGGATCAGCTGGATGATGAGCGTCGGGCCGAGCTGATTGAGCTGGTCAAGTGGCTGAACCAGATGCAGCCCGGTGCCGCTCCCTGGGTGGAGCAGCTGTAAGCCGATTGCTCTTTTATGGATTGATGAACGAAAAAGGATTTATTTAATGGATAGACGGATGGCTTGGAAGCCCGAGATGACTAGACGATACCCCAGTCACTGCGGCGATGATTGATGAAACCCCTCAAAAGTTGCTGCTGTATATACTGTCAATGACTACATACTTTGATCTTCACCTTTGAATTTTTGTATAGAACTGCCTAAGCTACCTTTATAACAGTAAAGTCTCTTCTTTTGTGTATGATTAATCTACTGGACTTGAAGTATGTTGGGGGACGCTAGCTTAATATACTATTACGCTTAAACCTACTAATCGCATTCATTGCTCTACCTCTTCGGACTATGAAATAAGATATTCATTTTCTTCTACACCCAGTCTATACATTTTTAGTGGACAATAAGTACCTCCATTTAAACCTCAATAACGCAATCACGGTATCATCAAATGATATATTACCTATCATACTTTTCATTCAAATTCTCAGGTAGATCCTACTAGAGACCGAGGCGCTTTTATATAAGAGATTTGAAAAAAAAAAAAAAAAACTTTAAAAAAATGGACCACGCCTGTCCTTTATAGCCTAATTCCAAAGGATCTAAATATCAACTTTGGAATTCACCTTGAAATAGCATAAATGATCTCCAAGGGCCACGTCACAGGATTAGAACATATATCGAGAAGAAAACCTGAAAATATATGGCTGCCTAACTTCACCTTTCCAACCACTTCCCTATACCCTTTCATTGCTTGAGGTACGTTCTCTTTCTTTTCTGTTTCTTTCTCTCGGGACTTGACAATATCCAATAGATCGTCATGGCCGTCACCTCTATTTCAACCCCTTTTGACTTCACCCTTCCTTCCTCCGGTAGCTCCATCAAAAAGCCCATCAAATCAGTCTCCAAGCCATGCTTTGGCTGCGATTGTGGCGATGAAGAGTGCGATTGCTGCATATGCACTGTGATGTGAGGCCTATCTCGATCTCGATATGCTTTTCTGGAAAATTGTGGTATGTGGATCGACGGAAATTATATGGATTTGTGTGGATCAGGGTCTAAGGGGATGCATTTTCCCGTTGATCGGGTGCCTATCCCATCCATTATTGTTCAACTCTGGTTAAAATGCACTTTTATATGTAAACACTCCATTTCAACAAAATAACCACTATTCATGCCTGAGGCATCAGACTGAGTCAGCGGCTTTCGGGGTCAGCCAAATTCCACCCCGGGCAATCCTTTGAGCTTAATTATTTCCTTGACCTTTTTTTGCAAAATATGTCATCTAATACTTCGGATGATCAGACGCGGACACGAACTTCTCGTGCCTGTGATTCCTGTTACAAAAGAAAGGTAGATCGGTAGATCCATAAACTCTTCCATCCCGCTAAACTGATCCCAGATCAAATGTGATGCGGCGCTCCCACAGTGTAATTGGTGCAGCCACCATAATATTCCCTGCACCTTTGACAGAGTGGTGCGGAGAAAAAGAAAAAATCCTGATGATGAGAGGTGAGTCCGTTCCTCGAGCCTCCAAGGTTGTTCTGCTATATGGGTCTGACGAAGATAAAGACAACCCAGAGTGTCACGATTATCGGAGCGAATTAGTCGCATTGAGCAACTTCTCGCAGACAACTTGATGGGTGATCATACCTCTGGTATAGTGTCTCTTCAATATGCAGATATAGTACTCCGAGACTAATTGGCAGAAGTGCCTGGAGACTCACCTCGATCTTTCGAAGCAAACACGACGGCTGACACGACGGCCAGCAGCTCCCCAGGCAACACTCAACCTCCGGACTCGTCGTCAGTGCGAGTTCACTTTGCGGGCAAAGAGTTGGGTGTCATCAGTTTACTCACAGGCACGCCGTTCCTCTTTCCCGAGGGACGGGAATGGATCAAAGCTCGCACCGGACAAGAGGTTGTCATGGACAAACTGAGCCCGGCGCGAGTACCTTGGGATAAAGCCCGCGGGAAAACCTTCAACACTGTCTTGATGAATATTAACAACACTTGCAATCCCTATGAACTTCCCGACTGGAGAACAGTGCGGGTGTACTTCGAGGCCTATAAGAGTTCCAAGGTGATGCGGCGCATCTTTCCTGTTATAGACCCGGAGCTTTTTGAGGAGACCCTCACCACAGCTTACAGTCAATCACCATCTACCTTTGAATATGGCCAAGCTAGCGCCAGGGTCTGTGTCATTGCATTTCTTACCTTTATTTCTCGCCTCCCTGACGTCAAAGATATTGTCACCGCGACTACTACGATCACTCCAATCGATCACGATCTACTTTCCACCAAGGCACAGTTCTTTATGCCTCAAGTATTACAAGAGCCTGCCAGTCTGGATGCAGTGCAGGCTATTACGATGTTGGTAAGTGAGCCACTCTGGTTGTAAAATTCCGATCACTGACCGGTGAACACATAGGCTCTCTTTGAGCTGTCCTCGGGAAACATGCGGGCAGTCAACTACTATGGAGCAGTTGCTGCGCGACTCATTTTCATGCTTGGTGGAAATCATTTTAGCAGTCAGACCATCTCGACGGATAAGCACAGCCAGCAAAAGCATTCACAGCTACGGAATCTATTCTGGATTTGCTATACGGTTGATAAAGACCTTGCCCTGCGCACAGGTCAGCCACCTAATATCACGGACGAAAATTGTGACCTGACCCTTCCGCCGGGTTATCTTGATCGAGCATTCTTGGACGTGGAAGACAATGAGGCCCCATGGTACGGTCCAGTATTTCCATTCGACTTGCGCCTAAGTATCATCAAAGCTCGAGCGCATCGAGAGCTATATTCACTCAGCTGCCTCCAAAAATCGGATGCCGAGCTGCTCAAGTCAATCCGAGAACTAGATGATGCGCTAGAAGAATGGCGGCTGTCAGTCCCTCCCAAATGGCGTCCAACCGTGTCCTTTTCGTCCGAGGCATCCGATCCCAACATGGGTATGCATACTGTCATGCTGCGTCTGAACTATCATCTATGCATGACCATAATCCATCAAGCGAGTGGAAGATGCAAGGCGTGGATGCAAGGACAAAGTGGCATGATGGATGGGGTGAGTTCAAGTATGGCACTTTCAGTAGAGGCCAGTCGATCAAGTCTATGTTACCTCAATGCAGCAGAGCATGTGGTAGTCGACGGAGTTTTTTGGTATGTGATTCCTATCATGTTATGGGACCCAAGCTAATCCCTTTTAGGACCCTAATCTTCTACCCCATGTCCGCGCTGCTCACCATCTTCTGCAATATTCTTCAGAACCCATTGGACCCACATACTCGCGAAGACTTGGACCGATTGCATGTCGCCACGGTTATGATGGAGCGTATTTTCTCACGAAAACTGCCTTCAAGTGAGCTTGTGCATTTCAAATTGGTCGGCGATTTCATTGTGGAATTGGAGCGATTGGCTGAATGCGCCATTGACAAGGCCTGGGCGGAGCAGCGCGCCTCTTATTGATTTGATTGATTTGCTCATTGTTTTCTTCCTATTTTTTTTTACAGACTGATACCACTGCCTGCACTTTAGCGTTAAGAGTTTATTGGCTATGATACTTAGAATTGTCGAAGATATTAATATTGATAGACAGAAGGACAGTCGGTCATTTGGATTGCATTCGATAGAGATGGTTGGAGCAGTGTTCAATAGAATGATATCTCATATATGGTGCAGTCTCTCATTGTAAGCAAAAATTCCCAGTAGAGATCCACGGAAAACTAGCATGTTGCTGGCTCCTCGAGGGATTGTAGTGGGATTTTATGGCAGTTGATCTCCGATAGTTCGGTATTTTGAACCGAAGGGCCGTTAGTAATAGAAGGTCGTTAGAACATCGGAGAATGCGTCCGAGATATTGGTGTGAATCAATATCTCCCTTGGGATAATGCGAAGCGCGTGATGGTTCAATCGACACATCACGGTGTCGTGTTCGATAGCCCACTGAGCTTGTGTGTTCATGAGACGCTTGACCGAGGGATATTCCGTTGGATGTTGATCAGTCCTCGGCTTGAGGTTCTTCCGTATCGGGCCATTCAAGGACGAGGTTGACATTTGGTCACAGTTGAGCACATAGCCCAGGAAAAGTTCAGCCATTTGACTTGGTGGGTACAAGACTGTTTGAATTCAGAAAATAAAACCCGTTGGTAGATTCAGTTCTCTTTGTCCAGTAGATCCCAAATTAACCGATAGTGCTCATCGGCCTTTTCTTTCAGCACTTTGGCCTGGTCGGTATCCTCTCCTGGCCGAGTAGCAGCCACACGGATGCCCTCAGCTTGCAACTGCTCTAGTACGCCCTCCACCTCCGCTTTCACTTTGTCCATTTGTTTCATTTCCTCTCGGCTGTGGTTGAGCTGCTCCTCCATCATCATGATAAGTGATTCGCGGGCTTGGTGAGGACGGTAGAGGTTGAGAAGATGGTGCGCATTGATGAATAGGTTGCGCAGGTCTTCGACCTTAGATTCGAATTGTTCCGGTGAAACAGACAAGATACCAGTAAACTCCAGGAAATTAAGGAGCAGGGACTTGCTGATCTTGAGAAGGTAGTAGGCGTGATTGAGTGGGGGCGAAGGCCGCGAGTTCTGTTCAGTACCGGCTGGAGGAGGTTCTGGATAGAGCTGTTCGATTCCTTGCTCTTGCAACGATGGCAATGCTGTAGAGAGCTATTTCAGAGTCAGTATTGCCAGGTACAGAGGTACAGAGCTCAAATGTAGAGGAACGAACGGTTTGCAATTCGCCAAAGACGCTGTACTGTCCTTCAGGGATGTCGGGTGGTACCAGGTACCGAAGCTCTGAGGGAATCTCTAGAGTGCGCAATTCCGCTGGTGACCATTGCTTGTTCTTATTCAACCGCCCATCTTCGCCCCTGGAAGCTTCAGCTTTGATCTGCTCCAGCTTGTCGATATTCTCGCGCGTAAAGTGTTTCCATAAAGGCGGCGGTGGCGCAAATGCCGTGTTTACGGTTCGTTGTTGGCTCTCGTCAGCCATATCGATCAGCGCGAGGGTAATGTGAGAAGAGAGAGAGACAAAAGTGAGTAAAGCAGTGAAGTTCTTATCGTAGAGCGGAGAGGCGGTGACGTGGTCTGTGCTTCCGCAATGTGTCGAATTGTCAACTTGACTTTCTTCAATCTCGATATGCTCCCGGTGAAGACCTGAAGATCTCCCTGGAGTCCTCGGGAGTTGTGCAGGATGCCTCACAATGGTTTGGGGAACGGGTCGACCCCAATTCTACAACGCGTTGGACTCGCTGGTGCTGCAGCTCGCTTTGCGCAACGCACCTATGCCGCTGACTACATCGCATTGGGGTTTCTAGTGGTAGGATGGATACTAGTAAGTCGCACATTATATGAACGGATACAAATGGGGGGGGGGGATTTTTTTAACACTTGAATAGATTCAATTATTCGTGAACCCGTTCCATCGCATGTTTTCCCTGGATAACAGAGCCATTCAGTACCCGTTCGCCGTCCACGAACGAGTTCCTGTTTGTAGGTCAATTTCGAATAATACAGTCTGCTTCTCTTGATTCTAACGAGTACTAGTGTGGTCGGTCGTTTTCGCCGGTCTGATTCCTTTCCTGATTATTCTCGCTTGGTCCGCAATATTTCGCGCTGGTGTACAAAAGACGCAAGTGACCGTACTCGGGCTACTCGTGGCTTTGATGTTGACCTCGTTCCTGACGGACATAATAAAAAATGCGGCGGGAAGACCACGTCCGGACTTGTTATCGCGCTGCAAGCCCTCCCGGGGTACATCGAACAAGGTGTTGGTCGCATGGACTGTCTGCACAGAATCCAACCAGCACATTTTACAAGAGGGATGGAGGAGCTTCCCTAGTGGTCATAGCAGCTTTTCTTTTGGTGGTCTGGGCTATCTATACCTGTAAGTGATTCTTCAAACGTACCGAGTCCAGACGCACTAACAATCGTGACCCTATAGCTTCTTGTGCGGTCAAATGCATGTCTTCCGTCCTCGAACAGATCTTGGACGCTGCTTACTTGCGTTTTTCCCATTATTGTGTGCTTTGATGGTCGCCCTCTCCCGTCTGGCCGATTATCGACATGATGTATATGATGTGACGTGTGGGGGCCTGTTGGGCATGCTGATAGCCTGGTTCTCATACCGTCGTTATTATCCACCGCTGCGGTCGGTCGTGTGTGACGTTCCCTATGATAAAGCCGATCTTGCTGGACCGGATGGCTTTGCTAAATTGGGTGATGAGGAGGCTCTTGCCCGGCCCTTCATTCCACGCGCTAGTACCTCGGAGGAAAACTACGAGCTCCAAGACGCAGAGCCATCTCGATGAACCTATCGCGTACTTGAACATATCATATCTCTACCCTGGCCTACTCGCACTTTAAAGGACTTTTGCTGTTGGACCCTTGTCTTGAAAACATCTGAAAGGGAACATCAGTCTGGTATTGACATAGTCCCATTGCTCCCGTACTGTAGAATTTCTCCGTCTCACTTTGCCGAGGCGGAACACAACTCGAGGTGAGGTCCCAATGTAATGATTTGGTTGGGGAACTTCTATCATGCTTTGCACTCCCTGTCTATATGGTTTTTCCAAATAAAAAAGAAAATGTAGAAAGGATCAACATCATTTCACCACATAGCTGACTCGTGAGGTTCCTTGTTTTCTCGAAATCTTCTTCACGGTCACAGGTCCACACAAATCTGTCGTATCGACATGCGTGCCTCCGCAAGGGTACACTTCAGCACCGACGATGTTAACTACACGAGCTTTTTCACCTGCGGGCACCAAACTGCGATCGGGAATCAATCGCTCTAGTCCACGCGAGCGGAAATCTTCTTCATCCCACCATTCGATCTGAACAGGCATCTTGGCGGCGATATATCCATCCAGTTTGTTCTGAATGGAGTCCTTCCATTTTCCTTCGATTGAACCTTGAAACTCACATGATGCCGAGTCGGGGAAGTGTGAGGCTTTCAATTCATCGAAATTCTCAATCTCTTTTTCCAAAAGATGTCGGACTGATGCACCTAGTACGTGGCCTGCAGTATGCAACCGGGAATATAGTAGACGCTTTTCCACATCAATTGCCTGCTCCACGGACTCGTCTTTGTTGAAAGCGGACGATGAGCCGTCGAAGAGACCGAGGTGAAGCACCTGTCCATTGGCATCCGTGCGAACAGTTGTGACTGTGAAAGTGCCAGATGGGCCTTTTAACACGCCCGTGTCCGAGGGTTGGCCGCCCCCTTGGGGGTGGAAGATAGTTTTCTCGGTGACAACGACATGATGTTTCTCGCTGGCATCTTTGAAGAGCAGACGACTGGATTCTTCGAGAGCATTGAAAGGGACAACGGCCGTTACCGTGGTCTCAAGGGTGTATAGACTGGCATCATTCTGGAAGACCAGAATGGTGCGAGTTGCCATAGTGAATATACAAGTTGGTGGGGGAAAAGGAGAAGCGGGGGAGATTTCGAAAAGTATTTGAAGTGCAACGCGTTAGAAGGTTCTAGTAATTGTAATATATCTAGAATGGCCAGGACTATCACCTTCAGTTAGAATATACATAAGTAGTATAGTATGAGCCTTCTATTATCAAGGTATTACTCCCTATATACAAGCTCAGAGCATGTGTGATTTTTTCATAACTCTATACTCTACATACTACCTTATATCACTAGATGATCATATTCAACGTGACAATTGAAATTATAGAGACCAATGGCCTAATATTTCCGTTCTAACCTTTGGAGTCGAAGATTATCGCTACTCCGGCTATTCTTTACCTTAGCGATTGACCAGCTAATCTTTTCGGTTATTCTTATATCTTAGCGAATATCGTGCATTCCTTTATCTTGGCTTATATATCTGGCTCGAATTATAAAAGCCCAGATTTACCATAACATCTTCGTACATCTTCGTTATCCCCGTTTACCTCATTAGATACTTTCATCATGTCTGATATACACCCTTTTGATCCCCTTGGGCCCCAGGAAATTACAAAGGTGGTTCCTCTCTGTCAAGCAAAAGTCATACATCCTATTAACCAATCTGTAGGCCGCAAAAGTTGCCCAGGAGCTGCTTCATGGAAAAAGTTTCAACTTTCGCGTCATCACCTTGAAGGAGCCACCAAAGCAGGAGATGATAGCATTCTTGGAGAGAGAACATCTTCAGCAACCCCAAGTCTCCCGACCTGCTCGTATCGCTCATATTCAAGTGATTGTTGGGGGTGGCTCTGGGCCAAATGAACTCACCGAGCTTCTGGTTGATCTAGACGGAAGTGCTATCGTTCAACGGGAGACCCTTGTGGGAAAACACTCTTTTATTGATTCGGCTTACATGAAAGATGTTGAGAATGCTTGTATGGAAGATGAGAGAGTGAAAGAAGAAATTCAAAAGTTGAAGCTACCTCCAGGGGCCTCCGTCGTTGTTGAACCGTGGGCTTATGCAACTGATGGCATGAACGACATGTCGGAACGGACTAGCATGGTTAGTACATCCCCAATTATTTGCAATATGCCAATACCAGCTAATATAGATGCATAGTGTTGGTTCTATATGCGACTGGTGGACAATCCCGACGTCAACTATTACGCATATCCACTTGACTTGTGTGCGGAGGTCTCTGAGCAACTCAAGGTGACCAAAGTCTACCACTTACCTTCGTCTGAGAGTGAGAGGGTCCATGAAGAAGCACGGCCATTTGACCCCTGCAAGATCCATTCCACTGCTCTGTCTGAGTATCATCCCAGTCTGCGACCACCACCGCGCACGACCACCAAACCCTACCAGGTCGTCCAGCCAGAAGGGGTTTCCTTCAAGTCACAGGGTAACTTGTTAACCTGGGAGAAATGGACTATGCGCGTGGGTTTCAACTATCGTGAGGGTCTCACGCTGCATGACATCCGTTATGACGGCCGGAGTCTCTTTTACCGACTGTCTTTGGCAGAGATGTTTGTGCCTTATGGTGACCCTCGTGCTCCGTTTCCGCGCAAAGCAGCATTTGACCTTGGGAATGATGGTGCTGGGATTAATGCGAACAACTTATCTCTTGGATGCGATTGTCTAGGACTGATCAAGTATTTTGACGGATGGCACAACACTTCCTCGGGAGAACCATTGAAATTGCCCAATGTCATCTGCTGTCATGAGCAAGATGATGGGATTTTATGGAAGCACACAAACTTCCGCACAGGAAATGCCGCGGTGGTGAGATCACGTATCTTGGTCTTGCAGACAATTATCACGGTCAGCAACTATGAGTATATCTTTGCTTTTCACTTTGGCCAAGATGCTTCGATTCATTATGAAGTTCGGGCCACTGGGATCTTGTCTACCAGTCCTATCAACATTGGCGACAAAGTTGGATATGGTACCGTTGTTGCCCCGGGTGTTCTTGCACCATACCATCAACACTTGTTCTCTCTTCGTATTGATCCTGCGATTGATGGAGTTGCAAATTCGTTGCAGGTTGAGGAGTCCAACCCTTTGCCTTTCAATGACCCATCCGTGCGAAATCCTTTTGGAGTTGGGTACACCACACATTCAAATATTGTGACAGAGGAAGGTGGATTAGATCTTGATTTTAACAAGAATCGCACGTTCAAGATCATCAATGAGGCTAAAGTCAATCCTATCACCGGTACGCCAGTTGGTTTCAAACTCGTTCCATGCTACAGCCAACTGCTACTAGCCCATCCAGAGTCCTTCCATGCAAGGCGATCCGAATATGCAAAACATGCAGTCTGGATCACTCGTTATAGTGATGATGAGCTTTTCCCGGCCGGAAAACATACTATGCAGTCCCTTGGCGGCGAAGGGATCAACTCGGCAATCACTCAACGGAGAAATAACCCGGACTCCAAGTCAACAGTGCGAAATGAAGACATTGTTATTTGGCACACATTCGGATCGACACACAATCCGAGAATCGAGGATTGGCCAGTGATGCCATCTGAAAAGATGTTGGTTGGTCTCAAACCGGTCAACTTCTTTACGGGAAACCCGAGTTTGGATGTTATGGTGTCGAGTCAAGACAATAACCAGAGTCAACTTGTGAAGTCTGAATCAGCATCTGCATGTTGCTCTCGAATTAAAATGTGAACAAAAGTCGAGGGTTCTAACGAGCTCTCTATATGGCGGGGGGTGGATCCGAGTCGGGTCGTCTTTCCCTCTCGGGCTTGAACTTTCTCCTATAAATTCCATAACCCCTTGGCTTTGACCTTCACCTTTTCACTTAGATCATAATGTCGCGCTCAAATTCACTTCAAATATCTTCCTCTCGAAAACCAAAAGTTCAAATTCTACTCTCCGTCGATTTCGATGCCGTGTCGGGATTTCTAGGAACTGGTGCTTCGGCTACAACAAATCTGGCCGATTACAGCAGTGGCTTTTTCGCAGCTCAAGTCGGAGTGCCACGCTTATTGCGCCTTTTCAAGAAACATGGAATTAGTTCCTCGGTGACTTGGTTTGTGCCCGGTCATTCAATGGAATCATTCCCAGCAGAGACCAAGGCAATTGTTGACTCGGGAGCCGAAATTGGTTGTCATGGATATGCACACGAGGGTTCCAGTCAAATGACTGAATCACAGGAGAGAGAGGTCATTGCCAAATGCGTGCAGCTAGCAACCGACTTGACCGGAAAGAAACCTCGTGGGTGGAGGGCACCATTATATCAGTTGCGAACACACACCATTCAAGTCCTAGAAGAGTTTGAATTTTTATACGGTATACTACTTGTTCTTTTCAAATCCTGTATCTCCCGGGAACTAAATTCAGATCAGATTCCTCTCTCACGCATCATGATTCGTCGTTATACTTTGTCCCTCGGATGTCAGAGCCCAAAGCCATTGACTTTTCTCCTTCCAAATCTGCTTCAACTTGGATGAAGCCCCTCCCTGTCCCTGCAGCCAGGACTCCCCAGACACTGGTTGAAATTCCGTGTAATTGGTATATGGAGGACATGACCCCCTTGCAATTTTTGCCCGGGGTGGAGAACTCACAAGGGTTTATCAGTCCGGTCACCATTGAGCAAAATTGGAAGTCTCGGTTCGAGTTCCTCTACAGTGAAGCTCTCGAAAAATCCGTTGAGGAAGATGCTGAGCAAGGCTTTGTTTTCCCTTTGGTTCTGCACCCAGATACTAGTGGAATGGCTCATGTGATTGGGATGATTGACCGAATGATTTCGTGGCTCAAACAACAGGAGGTTGAATTTGTGACATTTGGCGAGTGTGCGACAGAGTGGAAAAAGAATCATTAATCAGAATATTAATAACATTCAACTCATTTTTGTTGACTATATAGCCCCTAGACATAGTAAATTAGTTTGATGGAGATTTGGCGGGGTGGCCACTTATCCGCCACACCAATTTTCTTCGCCAACTTCAACTATCACATACTGTCTTTGGCCATCCATATCATGTGAAGTTTATATATCCCAACATTGGAACTCGTATGCCACGAAGAAAAGCTGCAGACCGTACAGGTCCGGTGAAGACCCGATCTCGCGATGGCTGCAAAGAATGCCGGGCGAGCCGTGTCCGATGTGACACCAAAAAGCCGATTTGCACACGTTGCCAGGAGAAAGGATTGCCATGCATGAAGAACCTAGTTTTAAAATGGGAATCGGAATTCATCAGTCGTGGAGCAGCTTTTGGGCGTGCAGGCGTTTGGAACAAAACCGGCGCAAATCAACCTACACGCAGCCCATTTTCTTCGGAAACACATGAGTGGTGCCCAGTGCCAACTATTGGCCCTTGGGGCTTCATAAATAGCGGTGTGTCGACATTTGAACGCCCAGATGAAGTGAGCATTGACTTCGACGAGTTGAATGCACTGATTTCAGTTGCTCAAGACTCCAACTCACCCCAACTATGGTCCTGGTTACAACATTTCCCACAGTTCAACGGGCTTAGCACAAATCTCAACCCAAGCCTTCCGCCGTCTCTTGCTCTGTTTCCAGAGCTATCCAAATCTGGGCATGGAGAGTTATTTGATTACTATCTTCAACAAGTGTGCCCTCGCACGGCCGCCAGCTCCGCATTTTCCTCGCCGTTTGCCTCTGTCATTCTGCCATTCTGTCTATCGGCTTCTCCTACACTTTTCAAGGCCATTCAAGCGTTAGGGGCATGTCACTGGTCAAGGCTCAATCCAAGCTATGGTGCAATCGGCCTGCGTTTTAAATCAGAGGCTTTGAGAGATCTTCGTCAACGTCTTTCGTCGGAAGGAAATTTGACATGCTCCATGGATCCCGAAGTACTGATTATCATGATCATGCTATGTTTATATGAGATAGTAGACAAATGTGATCAACAATGGACCATCCATCTCAAAGGCGCCAATGATTTAATCCGACTGCGAAGAAAACAGCAAATGACATCAGCGCAGCCAACGGCCCCATCGGATCCTGTGACGAGCTTTGCGGAGCAATTCTTTGCCTTCCAGGATGTCATGGGTCGAACCGCTTGTGCCAAAGAAGTCTTGTTTGGTACCGACTACTGGAAACCGGACGAACGCAACATCGATCTTTGGATGGGATGCAGTCCTGAATTGGTGTCAATCCTGGCCAAAATCACAGATATGAGTCGAACAAGGAGACAAAATACGTCTGATGCGGACAAGGCATCGTTCTCACTACGTGCGGCTTCCCTTGAACGCCAACTGGCGAACTTAGTCCAAGAAGTGGGAGAGGGCGACGACGAAATTCTCGCACTGGTTGCAGATTCTAAGCGGTTGGCTGCAATGCTTTACTTACACTGTGCTCTGCATGGGGCTGGTCCTACCACACCATTGGTGAAGAGTTATGTGCGCCAGATTCTGCGACTGATATCGGACCTCCTTGACCGTAAGTCGCTAGTCAATGTGACATGGCCAGTCTTTGTGGCAGCTGTGGAGCTTGACCCATCCGATGATGAGGTTTTCCCGGAATCTGAAATGGAATCGGGCTCGGGACGAGCGATTGTGCTACGTTCCCTGGCAACAATGGCCGACTCAACCATCTCGAACATTGCTAGAACACGGGCAGTGATTACCAAGTTATGGCAGACACGCGACTCAGATTTGATGAAAGGAACCGCTTTGCAAAATCAGTGCAATGATTGGGAATGGCATGTGGTTCCAATCAGCAATGCCATGAGCCTGGCATAGGGGTTGAATGAGGAAGAAGGAGCATATGGAATATTCTGTACATCAGATAAGCATTGAATGATCGATCAATTATGCACAAAGGTACACAATTGTACAAGATATAGATCACTATATACCATAGAGGGGATTGTCCGGATCGGGTTAGCGCGCTGTCATCTGATCTCGTTAACCGCCCAAAGCCAGCGACCTGGGATGTAAATGTAGACTTCACATCGACCCGAATTCTGTGGTTATCTTATTATAAGCCACAGCGTATGTGCTGTCCGGGCATTAACTGTGGTATTGAACTCACTTTCCTGCCTTGGTGCCGACGAATGATGCCCTTCACTCTACGCCCTTGCTCTGTATCGCGAAATCAGACCACAGTGACTTGAAAATGGCGCAGGTGCGACCTCCAGCGCCGGGGCGCAGTGCATCGGCCCATGGGTTTGAAAGCAAGCTCAGTCAACAATTAGCTCAGCCTCACCAAACCGATCTAGAACACCAACTTGAACCCTCGCGCTCTCCCAAGTCGCGTTCGTTATCTGATGTGTCCAGACCTACACCCACTCAACCATCCACTGGTGATCTTAGTCGCCCAAGCAAAGACGATAATGCAATACCTGCCCTTCCTGCAACACCTCGAAGATCAAGTGTAGCTCATTCGAGCCTATCGCTAAACTTGCCTTCCAAACCCGCCGTGTCGCCATCACTTACAAACCGCGCCCCTCTCTCTCCTAAACTTGACCCATCACATATCTACGGATCTCCAGGGTCTGTCCTCCCTCGACGGTCTCGGGGCCTTGACTTCTCACGCGCATGTACGAACCTCCACCATTCCACCCTAGCCGAGTCGTCCCCGGATTCGTCCCCCACCGTTGGAGGGCGAGGCATGGCAATACCCCAGCGACGTGGATCACTTGGAGCGGCATTCGTCCCACCTTTTTCAACCTCAGGTCCGGGCGACCGTACAACAATCTCAAGCTCGATGTCAAGTGTGAATATGATGGAGTCGGATACAAGTAGTAGCGAGGAAGATGAATCAATGGCTGATCGCGATGACATTATGCTCAATACGCCGCAGGCGACTCGCATAAGTGCACCGAGTCCGTTTGCTAGCAATATTCAGAGCCCGGGCAACGAGTGGATTGGAGGATATTCACAAGCCGCTGCTAGCTTGATGAGTTTCCAACGCGCGCGCTTTCGCAAAGGCCGTAGTCGCCACAGCTCTAGCAGTGCGAGTGGAAACAGTTCCAAGCATAGTCCTGCCCCTCACTCCCCACCCATCATGAAGAGTGTCGAGCACTCCAGTGGAGGTTATTTTGCCCCGCGGCAGACTGCGCATTCACGCAGAGAGAGTCTTAGTTTTGGCGCACGCGATCTGCGTTTGTCCGATATGAGCGACGATGGCGAGAGTCGCGCGACGCGAAGCGGAAGTCCAATTCCCATCCCACATCCGGAAGGTGGCGGTCCACTGGGAGTAATCCGTCGCGCAGTGACGCGACGTGGGAGCTTACTTGTAAGTCGGTGCCTTTGTGCTTCAATGGGCCACAAGCTAACTTGAATGACAGCCCAAAACCAAGACATTTGCGCGCATTCGCGCCGCTCTGATGGAGGAGGGTGCTCCAATTGACAGCGATATGAAACGAGAAGCAGAAGTGGTCCGGCAGGTCCGCGACACCGAACCTGAATCAACCCCGGCACTCGGCGGGTTCCCATCGTTGCAGCCCTCGACCTCGCTTGATTCGACGCCGTCAGAAGATCCCGCAGTCAAAGCGGGAATGGACACAGCATCTACGGATACTTTTGGTAAACAAGCTAGTCGTAACTCGGGCGGCGTCGCATTTTGGAACTCGTTCGATGGACGTTACCGAACCCCACCCCCGGCTCGCCAGGAAGGTCCCGCATCTTTGGCAGATGAGGATATGTTCATGGATATGACTCCGTCTACGACCATCGGCTCTGTTACTACGGAGTCTTTCAAGCAGCGTTCCCGCTCTTCCACCCCCCATGCCCCGGGCATGCCAAGTATTGGGGAGATCTGTCGGAAGCGGCGTCGTGATGATGACTTCGATCCTAATCTTTTCAAGCGTCGGGCTGTTTCGCCCAGCGTGAGTGTTCAGAGCAGTCCAGTAATGACTCACTCCCACAATGTCAGTGATATGGGCCCAAATATCTGGGGTCCGCCGCCAAAACCGGGCCTCGGTGCCCCGTTTTCTGAACGACTCAGTTCTGAAACGAGCAATCGAACGATCTCTCATGCTGGAGGTGGGAAACGCGTCGGTCTGCAAGGGATGACCGAAGCCAGCGATGGCTTTATGAATATGAGCATTGATTGAAAGGCGCTTTTGGATTTGCGATGTGGAATTTGATATTCTTCGTGCGCTCTCGGGGTTTACGGGCATTTTGTTTTGGGGGGTTTCAAAGGGCATGGTGTTATTTGGACATATTTCAAGCAAGATACACATTCGTTATTTTAGCGTTTCAGATACCTCATGGCAGATTATTTTATGAATCATTTCACTTTCACTGTTGATGTCTATATGTAGTTTCTGGATGTATACCCGTATGTAGGCCACGTGCTTATCGCTCTCCGCCTCCGACAGCTTTCTCTCCGCAGACTCCAGGCAATCACACTTCCAAGCTCCAGTACTTCTCAAGAACTTCAATTGTGCTTGAACATATTGCTCAGTACTGAATACCTCGATCGTATTTTCCTACACCATGCCTTCTACTGTTGAACTGGCATCCTCCTTCATCGAGGGTGCCCCGCCCGGAGAGGTATGCATGTCAACAATGATCCAGGATCCCCCACTCCCCTGGTCATCGTCCGAAGCCTGAGAGATGGTCGCTAACATGTCTTTGCTCAGCTCGCCGATGTCGTCGCCGGTAAATGGCCCTCTTAATGCTACACTGCCCTTTCCGATCCCCGCAATACCGACCCATACGCAAACGGTGATGCTGATCCCTACTACTTGATTAGATGTGCAAGCCTTAACTTCCGATGGCGAGGATATCATCCCCTCCCTTCTACCCGCATTCAAACGGTACAACGAGACACAGCTCGCAACGGTGAAATTGCCAGGATCAAGCCAGGAGGTGGGTTTCGCTCAGGAGTGGTCTATATCTGCGGTGGATCTAACACTTTTACTGGGAAGGTCATTGTTAGTGCGTTTAACGAACTCGAAGACAACCGCTACTTCGACCCGGAGAGCCAAACCTCGTTTGAGGTCGACCACACCACACAGGTAGGTTTCATCTGACCAACTGGGGCGGTACGTTGAAGGCTTACGGGTTTGCACCATGGAAACAGACTGCCTCTGCAGCACAATCATACCCATTGGAGTCGGAGCACGCGGATTTGATGTAAGAAATGAGCTAGGTTGAAGTCTTGGTGATAATCCGCTTACCGTGTTTAGCAAATCGCTGCTCAAGTCGTTCGGTGTTCATGCCCGTGAACACTACCCCAACTGCTCATATGGCGTCTACCCCATTGAGAATGACTCTGCCGTTGCCATCGTCTTGGTTTCCAACCGATACTCTCCCAACAACTTCTGGTGAGTGGTTCCAGTCTCTATGGATAACACCGTGGGTGGAAACTAATCGTTATGGACGCTTCCCCATCTGGGGAGGATTGTCTGTTCTGTCACCATAGGAATGGTCGTTTCCGCGCAATTTATCAACTTCCCGTCTCCTCCTCGTCCTCCACCCTGACTGGCAACATCCACGTTGACGTGCACTACTACGAAGATGGCAACGTTGCCCTTAACACTACTAAGCCTGTCAGCATCTCCATCTCCTCTGTATCTGCCGAGTCGATTGTCTCGCGGATTGCTGCGGCGGAGCGCGATTACCAGGAAGCGCTGAACCGGGCCTTTGTCCAAACCTCCGAGGGTGCGTTCAAGGGTCTCCGGAGGCAGCTTCCCATTACGCGACAGAAAGTGGAGTGGGAGAAGGTCGGTGGATACCGCCTGGGTCAGGATATCTCGGGCGGCAAAGGGCGGTAGAGCAGGGACTTGGAAATATTGTCGAGTGGGTGGTTTGATCAACCCGCTCGCGGTGAATAGCTGGACTAATATATCCCTACTATTTTGCAAGCATTGTCTCATTTTGCGTGTTACTTGTTTCATTTTTATGGTTTACGAAGACGATTAAGTGTAATTTGTTTTTGTAGTGCTGGACCTCTTAGGCTGTCGCTTTATATATATATCACCAACACACAACCACCAGCCAACTCACCCACACCCAGAGTACCCCAGATGAACTACTGTCAATAATAATTATCGGATTAGACGTAAAGTAATCCATAGGCATGAATTCTCCAAGATGTAAAGGCTGAATAAGCACAACGACTAGTTAGTTAGTGCAGGTGAGATTAACCCACTTTCAAGCCTTCGACACACGGATCCCATCCCCTATTCCTTAAAAAGTGTTTTGTTCCCAAGCCTGTAGCGGTGCTGTAACGATGATCCCACAATTTTCTCGTTTTGTTAAATCGGGCGCTGGTCTTGAAAAGACTCTTCGTCTGATCCAATGCGTGTCGCAGGTTGTCGCTGCACTCACCGTGAGCAGTGCCCTGGCCATGCAATTGACCACAGTCAAACTGCAATTGGCACTAGGTAAGTTAGATTCCAATATCCGATGGATAGCGATGCGCTAGAATCGATGGCTCCATAAATGCTGATACTGGGGTTGTTGGGTAGCGCGGAGATATTTCCGCTTCTTTGGATTCATTGACTCCTTCCAACGCATGTTGGCGTTGCTGGGCAAGGATGGCTTCAGCTCTGTGGCTGGGATGCTCGAGCTGGCTAAGTGTACCTGCTTTGGCCTTTACTTTGTCCTGGAAGACCTGACCACGGTATGTTACTTACTGCTCCGTTCGGTGAACAGGACTGACCAAGGGCTAGCTTCACGCAATGGGGGTCTACGCTGTCTCCTGGAATGGCCGTGTTATGGACCAGGCCAATACATTCTGGTTCTATGCGCTTTCTTTCTCTGTTGCCGGAGCTATCTGGGCGCTTCTTGCCGGATCGGAGCAGCCTCTTAAGAAGAATGGTAAGAGAAAGAACCAGAAGACCACCTCTGAGAAGGCTACCCCGGTCAAAGTGACTGCTACCTCTACCCGAGTCAAGCAGATTGTGGTGGATGGATGTGATCTGCTCATCCCGCTGGAGCTTCTGGGCTGGATGCCCACGGGAGACGTGGTAGTTGGATCGACCATGGTGTTGAGCACACTGCTGACTGCTCAAGATATTTGGGCCCGAGTATGATTAGAATGTAAATATAGCATGTGAGTTGATAGACATAGATATTAGAGACTATGCCAAAAAGAAAATCCCTAGGATATAGGACAAAAGCCCAAAAAAAATGGACTTGCAGGGAATCGAACCCTGGACCACTCCCATGCTAAGGGAGTATTATACCACTAAACCACAAGCCCAATTGGATGAAAGACACGGCCGCTTAGTGTCTGAAGAGTGGATTTGAATTTGTGGAAATTAGCCGCCTAAATTAACTAAGTGGGATTACTAACCAACTTCGACTTTTAACAGATTCCTTACGTCATCCCGACGCGCTCTAACCCGGATACGTGAAGGCATAAGCCCAATCCCACTTCGCATTCAAAGCCCTTGCATTGAGGGCATATTGATATTTTGATTGCAGAATCTCCGAGCGCCATCACAAGGTTGAACGTGCCCCTACACTACGATGTGATTTGGAGGGGGAAAAAGCTGTTTGCTCCCTATGGTCTTTACCCTAGCAGTTAAGCTCTTAAGCGCAAGAGAAGCCGTATCTTGATTATACCTAATAAGGTTAGACGACCTAGTATTTAGCGGTATTCAAGTAAACAGAAAAGAGCCATATTCTGTGGAGGTTTTTTTATTTCCAACTCCTTGCAAAACCAAAATGCAGGTCGGCTTCGGTAACACCTGATCTCTTTGATTTCCTTTCTCGTTTGATTTCTGGAAGTCTTTTTTTTCTTTTTGTTTGCAAGAATAAATTACAAATAACACGAACACAAAAGAAAATAAGAAAGCGAAATCACACCAAAGAAAACCTTAGAATGGAGGACAGCCCTTTGTCAACCACCGCGAACATATCCGGAATCCTCACGTTCCTTGCTGCCGTCTTCACTTTCGTCTATGTTCGCTACAACACTCTTCAAAATGGCCATGCTGAAATGAATGACATATATGAATCCGTCAAAGCCACCATCGAGGAGACTCTTCTAATGGAGAGCCAGATTGAGATTCAGCCAGGCTTTGAAAAAGTGCGAGAAATCTTCCACCAGCTCTGGCGAACTGAGATCGCCATAATGATCGAGCTCGCTAAAGCCATTGGAGGTGATGAACTAGCCAACAAAGTCCGTGGACAGACCAGCATTGAGCCTGATTCGCACTATAATGTCTTCAAGTGGTTGTACAAGGACGAGGTGGATTATGGACTGGGTCAAGAGCGCTGGGTTAAGAGAATCCCTCTTCTTGCTGTTGCTCTAACAGCCGTGAGACTTGCTTGGAATCTAGGCGCGACACCCAAGCTGCTACGGTGGTATATGGTGCGAGAGAAAGTGATGGAGAAGATCCGGGACAGGAACAATTATAGGTCGCGTTTGCGGTCTCACCAGCTGGCTCTTCTGAATCAGTAGGTATATTTACCTTCTTGACAAAGGGATGGACTGATAGTTGTGTTTCGTGTTTAGACAGTTCCGAGCACAGGAGCTCTCAATTCGGCATCTGCGTGATGATTATGAGGTTTTGCTGAAATATATGGAAGACATGCGGCACACCATAGGAAAAATGATGGAAGCTCATGGAGTATCTTCTCCCTGAATTTAAACCCCACCAGCCTATCTTGTGCAAAGAAGGGCACGGGAATACCCTAGGACTTGGGGATTTCGGGAAAAGATCGGCTGTGACACCATCGATTCACTCTGGGAACATTATGGCTCCATCTACGGAGTAGAAGAGGTGCTTCTCGCTACCGTAAGCTCGTATCCTTTGTGGCCATGTTGCGTTGGGAAAAACTGGGAAGTGTGCCCTGTTTGGGGATTTTCGTTGTGAGAAGATGGCTATGCAAATGAGGCTTAGCAAGTCCAGAGATATAAAAAGGAAGAACTTGTCAGGTGGAAATACAAGCGCCAAGAGAGTTGGAACCGTAAAGGCTCAAATAGGCAAGTCTCGTATTGGAGGAAAAAAGAAAAAAAAAGAGAAAAAAACAATATATATAGACTGTGCCTTTGAGAGTTCATAAAGTCATCCAGAGCTCAAATCACCTTAGCAAATGTCCACTACCCTTCTTAAATCCAAGAAAATGGAGATTTACTCGGCCTCTATAAGATCTAACAGTACTCTCAGCACACTCATCGAGACATACTCTTTTTACCCACGCATTTTGACCATTAATGCGCAAGGCGTTGGAGCTTTTCGTCTCCCACTACCCTCTCGTCAGACTGAGATCTTTGTTTACAACCCAGACGGCACCGAGGCCTATGTCTCCAGGCGGGACAAACGTTACTCAGGTAATGCGATCCTGTCCCATCCAAAGCGCGGAAATCTTATCCAAACTGAATACTTCTTCGGTCCGAGCCGTGATCCCGTGGTGCACCTACTTCAACCTTCGCGTGACATTCCCGAGCAAGTGATTGTTGCTGGGAAATGGACCTCCCGCACAATGCGCTTGGGTATGCCTGGAGGTCAACAGTTTGAATGGGAATATGCCAAGGAAAAAAGGGCAGACGGGCAGAAAGTCAATTTGATTGTTTTCCGCACAGTGGAAGAAGAGAAGGGCAAGGGAAAAGAGACTCAGGGCCACAGGATTGCACAGCTAGTTCGTGGAGAGGATTCTCGGACGCCGGGCACCTCGCGGTCTTCTGCAGGCAATGGAGGTGAATTGCAGATTGACGAAGCTGCGTTACAGTCCCTCGAATTGGACGAGGCAGTTATTGTTGCGACTTGCCTGATGATGTTGAAGAAGGAGATTGACCGACGGAGGGTGATTCAGTTGGCAATGATCGCGGGAGCTGTTAGTTGAGATTGGTGAGAAGATATAGAGCGTCTGTGTATTTTCGTTATCTCAACGCTAGTATCTATGGTCTATCGGATATTTGGATATCTTTTTTTCTTCCGCTTTAAAGACAGTTCTCAATTAGCCCGCTCGCTCAGCAATTCGGAAATGTGGCCATTGAGCCAGTAGCCGTTCAACTCGTCGGTGGACATGGTTTTGGCCCCAGAGATCCAGCCTCTGCAGACCCCATCACCTGCCCCACAGTTACACTGGAATGCCTGATCCATCTCCCACTCGGTGCTGGGGTAGAAGAAGGTGAGGGCATCACCTGCCTTCAAAGGATGGTCGTCCACGACCCGCACCTCCATGCGGCCCATGTCGAAGACCAATGAGGGTGCACAGGAGTGATTGCAGTAGACGAGATCGGAGTTGAGTTCGATGTGGGTGTCGCGGCCGGTTTGCACGCTCGTGTAGGCTTTCTTTCCGGGAGTTGCCGTAGTGATCTTGGCGAAGACGGCACCCGCGGGGAGGTCGACGAGAGAATAAGCTCCACTTGCAAATGCTTTGGTACTGCGATCAACACGTAGACATTCAGGATGAGTCGGAGGAGGGAAGTTGACGGGCGTCACAGGAATGGGATCGGCAGATGGAGCCATACTGAGGTAGAGAGAGAGAGAGAGAGGGTATAATAAGAATGGGATGATAGGATTTGGAATTTAGGTGAATGTAAAAGGGGAATACTTGGGGTTTTATTAAGTAGAGATGTACACCGTAGAGCGATCTCACGTTGTTCCCTTCAACCGAGGTCGTTGCGCTATGACCGAGGCACAGGCCTTGAAACACCATTTACATGTAATTGTCTTGTCTTAGAGAGTGTAGACATTTAGACTGAACGTGGGTTTCTAGCGGATCGCACGCATCCGTCATTCGGTGAGCTTCCACATGCATAACAGCCCACATTCTCGGCTTCATCAAACGAGTAATTTGGATATACCCTGTACTCTGTATCCTGTATATAGTCTTACGTTTTTTTATTTATTAAATCGAGGTAAATCCTGAAACCATCAAGACAATTATTCGGTGCGGACGAATGTTCCTGATCAAGCTACGTGCTTGTATTTTCATTCCTTTCTATTCAATTGACTCAGTTTATATGTGTATTCAGTTCATCTTACGCATTAGCTCCTGTCCATTCAACCACCGCTCTAAATTCTCGGCTGTTTCGCGATACCACCCCCGTAATAGATCCTCTTCTCCATATCCCATGTGGGGGGAAAGCAGAACCTCACTGCGTCCATCTTGTCCCCAGGGAGTAGTGCGCCATGGGCTATCGAGAGGCAATGGCTCCGGGTCAAAGACATCTAACGCGGCTCCACGAATGCGGCCCACATTCAAGGCCTCGAGGAGGGCCTGCTCCTCAATCAAGGGCCCACGTGAAGTATTGATGATAAATGCAGATGATCGCATATTTGCTATTTCAGCCGCACCAACGATTCCACGGCTTCGATCCGATAACACGCTGTGTACACTCACGATATCGGCATGTGCGAAAAATTCCTCCTTGGACGTAGCAACAACGAATGTCCCCGCTGGTAGATCCTGAGCCTGCGCTTGCTCGTCGGCCTTTTCCTGTGTTAAGTTTGTTGACCAGGCGAGAATCTTCATCCCAAAAGCCAGAGTGCCAATTTTCCCTACTTCTGACCCGAGTTTTCCCAAGCCAAGCAGCCCCAGTGTTTTCCCAGACAAATTGACCCCGAGGGAGCCCTGCCATGCGCCGCGTTTGACAGCTGCATCGTCGCGTGCGATGTTTCGAGCGAGTCCCAAGATCAAAGCCCATGTATGCTGCACCGTCGAATTGACACCGGGTGGACGGCCCTCGGTGCCTGCGACGGCCACGTTGGAACGTGTAAACGCCTCGAGATCTAGCGCCAGGTTGCGAGTACCCGTGGTCAAAAGGAGTTTCAAATTTGGGAGTGCCGCAATTGTTTTGGCTGCAAAAGGTGTTCGCTCGCGCATGGCCAAGATGATATCGAAGGGAAGGAGTCGTTGGACAAGAGCATCGTGTTGTACAGGATCGCGGGGGTCGAGGGTTTCGGGAAAACTGGAAATGTCAACTTGCGACTCGAGGTGAGTGAAATAAGTAGGTGCAATGCCCTGATAATCGTCAAGGATTGCAAACTTGAGTGGAGCCATTGTCAAAAATGCAGAAAGAGGGAAACGAGAGAATGAGAGTCCGGGGAAGTGCGTCAAATTCCCCCTCGTTCCCGGCAGTTCGTTTATCCCCTCGGTATGAACACCTGTGCACCTATAGATGGATATATATGCCTATAAACATACAGATATGTGATTTAAACCTATATCGACAAGACATTTTGCATTTATGTATAAGAGACATTTGGGACGTATGTTCGTACTCCGAGCCTATCCCAGTTGGTAACTCTGTCTCGGTATCTCCTAGTTCCAAAGCATATGCTCTGCACTCTTTATTGTGAAACTGGATCCCTCATCATCAGGAAGAATGACTCTCGCCCATCACTACCAAATTGTGTAAAATCCAGAGCCACCTCTTCTACTATCTTCCATCCATGCTTGAGGTAGAGGGGAACACCCTCCGGCGTACCCTCGAGGAAGATGCGCGACTGGGAGGCATCTGCCTTTTCTATACCCCATTTCAAGATAGCAGAGCCAAAACCTCGCCCTTGATATTCCGGCAGTGTTGCTAGCAAATCGAGGACTAAAACATTTGAGCAAGATCTCCTCTCGGGAATGTGGGGCTTCACTTACTGATATCGTTCTCTGTGGTGTATCGCTTACGACAATCCGCGAGAAGCTTTTTAAAGGCAACGGCAAGTTCCGCATTCATTGGCCGGGGTGCATATTGAACAGGGTCCTTGGCCAGAACGGCCGCGTCTTCAGTCAAGGTAACCAGGCTCGGACCAAATGATGCTGGAAAATGCCAACGGCTGTAGGTTGCCAGTTCCCCACTGACTGGATCATGGATCTTGAGGACGTGCATATTGGGATCGGCAAGATGTTTCATTCCCACAATTATTTTGTATTCCTGCACTCTCGTCAAGCTGGCATTTGGGAAAACTTCTTCGAGGAGACGGCGGCCTTGAAAGCTTTGGACATTGACTTTGGCAAGTCCTGGACCATCGGCCTCGGTGGCATATTGGATGAGATCCATGATTAGAAAGGGATGGAGATGCAGAAAATAACTAGAGCCTGGAAATCGCGAAGATGTAAGGGGCAAGTTCAGAGAGACACTAATCCTCATCTGTACCCCGGTCCTCCCCCCACTCTTAGCGTTCAATTATGTTTTATATTGTTTTATGTACATAGTCACCCTATATCTTATGGATATTTCGTATATTGGTCATTTTCAAGCCTTTCGCTTTCTAATCTCCAGCTTTGCATCTGGATCGCTTAGCATTTCAAATCCCATCTCTATAATCTTGGGTGTCATCCCATCAGGAATCCTGACATCGTAAGTCAAAAGAATCTTAGCGACAGCAATCTTGACTTCGTTGCTAGCAAAGAATCTCCCAGGACAGATTGGCTTGCCAATTCCAAAGGCAATATGCTCCAGGCTCGTGGACGCGAGTGCTGCCGCAGTATTACCGGATTCGCGAAGACGAAGAAAACGGTAGGCGTCGTAAGATGACGGATTGGGGTAAATCGCTGGGTCCCACATCATGGATGAATCAACGGCAACATTCGTTCCGCGAGGGATGGTCAGGCCATTGGGAAGGGTAACATCCTTCAGGGCTTTTCGCTCAAGATTAACTGTGAAAGTGTAAGTTTAGTACCTTGCTATGAGAGCACTGATGAGTTGATAGAAGTGGACACGTACCTAACGAACCCGGTTTGAGCCGTAGTGTTTCTTTTATTGCGCTGTCCAACAGCTGCATCTTGAAGAGGCCTGCGGTTGTCCATCCGCTCTCCTCGACAGCTTTATGTGCTTCGTCTCGTAGAACCGGAATCAGATCTGGGTGCATACAGATATCCAGTATCGCCTGCTTGAGAAGATCAGATGTTGTATGCATTGCGCTTATCGCGAACGCGATTTGCGATGCAGCGGCATCGTACGGGCGTCCGGCAGCGACTTCTTCAAGCCACTGTATGGTATCCTGGAACTTTTCTCTCTTGCCAGGCTCATTAGATTGATATTTCCCATATTTTCTGCGGTCAAAGATTGGCTGCAGCATAACACGAGCAAGCCGAACTTGCTGACGGCACTTTCTGAGTTCTGGCAAGAACCAATGAACCAATGGACGAAGAACGGCCGGCCAAGCGCGGAGAGCTCGAACCCCCATAAAGGTGTTCAGTGTCGAAGTGAGAATTAACTCTTGCCATTTAGGATCACGAGTTAATTCAGGCCCGACAAAGACAGGTGCTGACATTCGCCCGACGAAGCGGACTACTTGTTGAGACCATTCAACGGCGTGCCAGTCTGAAGAATAAGTTAATCGAGGATTCTGACACAATATGGAGGAAACCTACCGTCGCGGTCCGTCCAGATCTCTTCCAGAGCCTCCGTAAGGTGTTCATGAAACAGCTCGCACTCTGTGATGCAAGGCTATGTTGGTGAGACTGTAATGTGAATCATGGGCCCCGGAGTTGTCACGTACGACTGTTCTGATTGTTCAATTTAGTCTTGGTGACATCGATCAGAATTCTTCTAGGATCAGTGACAACTCTCTGTCCATCCATCCCGGGGTATGCTGCGAAATATTGCTGCATGAAACCGTGTCAGTTTAGCTCCCATCTCTCGCTAGTAAAGGGAGCTGCAACATACATCGTGGACCAGCGCCTGATGATCTAAATCCAAACAATTCTTGAGCCACTCTGTATAAGAGGAAGGAAGAATTACCCGAGAGCCAGCGGTGGTTATGATGCGAAATGGGCCGTTAAACTGGAGTGTGTACATTAGATGTAGTGTTCCTGTAGGAAATTCACTCAACGCACCTTCTGGATCCCTTCCTTAATCAAACCTCTGGCATCTGACGTAAATCTCAACTGAGCCTTTTTCAAAGTTATATCACCGGGGTATGAGTTGACAATCGGTATTGTCGGTCCTGCTGTCAGATGCCATATGAGAACCACAAGGAAACCCAAGAGGGTCGTCGACAGAAGATATACGACCGAAAGATCTTTCATAAGAAAGCCGCCTGGGTGGAAAGATGTCATTATTGCTTGGATTTCTTTTACCCATCAAATTGGCTAGACAAGGGATGATTTATGCGAATATAGATACCGGTCACGTGTATATATCGAGTGTGTAATGATGAATCGGAATGAATAAGAATGACTCACGTTAGGTGTGGATATAAAAAGCGGATGCCCAAAATCCCTTAGCAATATAGATAGAAATGATATGATGTCTATAATTATTTGATAGTAAGGCTTTCTAAGATGAAACTGCGTTCAATTACTGCGACTTGAAAACTTTTACTCTTCGAAGCCTATGGATCTGGTATCTGGTCACCGTGGCAAGCACCCAACCGTGTGTTGGCCGAGGATCCCATTTTGTATGAGTTGCAATACAAAAGACTCATGCACTTACCTTGGAACTAGATAAAGTAAGAGAAATGTTAGGAAAAAAATACAGCCATTTTACCACTAGACCATAACAAAAACCTCGGTTCCTGTTTAGAGCCTAGGGGGGCCATATCCCATTCTGACAAGAAACGGTACAAATATATGATATGATTTAGCATAGAATTCAGTGGTAGTATCGATTCTTAACATCTAATGTGGAAGAATGAGAATAATTCAAAAAAAACACTATACTATGTACACATATGTAGGAATGTACTAGGCCTTCTTTTTTTAGTACACTTAATCTTTTTTCATCAAATGAAATAGAATGCCTTTATACTATATATCTCTTCTTAGATCTCTTTAACTAGTTTGACCGTTAAGTATCTTTTGTATTGGGAACTCATCTAAAAAATACCTTTTTTTTAGATTTGGGATCTCAATTGGCTTCTTTGGGGTTGGCACATTCATATAAAAACAATAAATTCCACTGCTGTTCATTCAAAGAGGTAAAAATGGAATCATCTGCACTAGTACCTGCACGAAATGAATGACAATCTAGTAGATATATACACATCTTGTAGGAAATTTCCAATTTGCTTTAACCAGCGATCTTGGCAAACTTCTTCAGATCGTCTTCGCTGCCATTCCAGATTTCCGAATCACCCCCGAAGCTATACGCATCCGAGTTCTGCCAGAAGCTATGGGTTTCCCAGCCAGCGGGGATGGCACCGACCGAAGAGCTGCCGTATCGAGCCACAGCCAACGGGTAGTCACCGAATGCCGTGCTGCCACCGGTGCAAGTGTTCCACCAGTCGGTGGTCGTGTAGATCATAGGATACCGGCCAGCGGTGCTCTTGTAGGTCTCGCCAAAGTCCTTGATCCAGGCAGCCATGGCTGAGGCGCTGAGCCCATAGCAGGATGCGCCGTACGGGTTGTATTCAATGTCCAGCATGCCGGGCAAGGTCAGGCCATCATTGGTCCAACCTCCACCGTGGGCAAGGAAGTATTTGGCTTGTGCGGCACCGGTGCTGCTATCAGGTGTGGCAAAGTGGTAGCCACCACGGATCAGACCGGCGCTAGTGGCACCCCCGTATTGGCTCGAGAAAGAGCTGGAGATGAAGCCAGTACCTTGAGTGGCCTGATATAGTTAGTATTGTGATGTGGAACAGATTCTTAGTAAGCTCGGAAAGGCTCACCTTGATCATGACGAAGCGGGCACCAGCTGCATGAGCACCGGCGAAGTCCACGGTAGGTTGATAGCCGGAGATGTCGAAGCCCTGGACAGTGGCGCTAGCTGCGGTAGCAAACAGGAGGGGTAGGGCGTTGATCTTCATGGCGAGAGTGAAAGTGAGATTGGAATAGTAGGTGTTTTGAGTGTGTTTGAGTGTAAGTGATCAAGTTTTGGGAGGAGGACTAGGGCCTATTTATGTGTTTCCTAATGAAGCTTCAATACCCCGTAACTTTTTAGTGTATGTTATAGTTGCAATCTCGGGTTCTAAATTAACCAGGGGACATCTTGCAGTAGTAACGTTGTATAGCGGAAACACGAGGATCCATTTATCCCATCCTACTTCAGGTATGTACAATGTAGATCAGTTGCTGGATGTTTGAACGTTTCACGATTGCTTGGTATATAACTTCCGGGGAGTGCCGCGTGGGATGTGAATAAGAGGATCAGTAATTGAATTGATCAGACATTGAATAATTCTACTTTGGAGGTTTGATCTATGAATATTTCCAATATGAGAAGACCTCATACATCCTGGTGGTTGATGTATTCAGACTGAAGATATGCAAAGTAACCCTAAGATCTTATGATAAGCCTGACAGGGATATTAAGTTGTTAAACACGCTATAACTAGTTATAATCTAAAATAAATAGAATAATGATAAATCATTAGAACGTCGAATCAATAGTCATCTCGCAGAATGACACCCTTTCGGCCATTCCGCTCTCTGCCTATGTAAGCGAAAGTCCCAATGCTAAGCTCTTCTCCCCCCCACTTTTCATATCTTCCCTTCTTCAAAGTACTATGCACGTTCGCTGTCTTCAATAACAATTGGTGGACGTGTTTTGGGAAATGGATAGCCGAAGTCGCCCCCGACCATGAGCACATCTGGAAATAAGGATTTCCGCGATCAGCTGGGGAAGTTTCGCTTGGATTCGATTAATACTTATACCCCAACCTGGCCTCAACCACCCCCGGTTCATGAGTCTATAGATGCCTCGAGCCATGCTCGGAGCAAACGAGTATCGACTGCATGTGACTTTTGTCGCAAAAGGAAGAAGAAATGCGACTTTCGATACCCCAATTGCTCAGCTTGCACCCGCGCCGGAGTCCGATGCACCATACCCCCGCCCGGCCCTCAAGTCGCTAGCGCCTCCGTTCCCCGGGATCAGCTGGAGAATTTGCAGAAACGGGTACGATGGCTAGAGGAGGTCGTCCGTCGCAGGTCGGGACTATCGGTGACGGAGTTGCCAACGGGGACACCAGTCGATGGCGAGGGAGATCCGGATTGGTGGTATCAGGTGCCCGCTATGGTTGCGACCGGGGGTAATACCTCACTGCCGAGCCCTGCCGGCAGTGGTGGTTCTTCTGTGACAGCAGGACTCTCGGAGGCCTCGACCGGAGTAGGCACAGA